TTAAGCTAGGGTGCACTTGACTGACTATACCATACATAAGCAGTGGGCCATAATTCCATTGACGCTTGCACCAATGTGCCCAACCGCAAGAATCCCAGACACAGACTGACAACAGGGCAATGAGAGAGCGCTACAATGAATCTGGGGCGGGAGCTCCGAGACCGAGACAAAGCGAAAGCAGGCGGAACTAGAGATACACATCAGACTATGGGATATTACATGTACGATAGCAGAGGAACGATGCCGAGCGTCAGACATACAGAGCAGTCCAAGGCCCACTGTGCACATGACGAGAAGAAAATGGACCAGCGATAAGTATAGTAATTGTATGAAGTACCGTGAGGCATTAAGGAGCCAACTGTGTGTCATGAACTCGTGGAATAGACCTACTCAATAAAAGACCAACACCCAGAGCGAGAGTCGGCCCGAAAAGCCGGAAAGTCGCGGCACGCGAAGGGGGCGTGGGAGCCGACTTCCTAAAGACGCCCAACTTTCAGGCACACGCGAAACCGACATCTACAAATCAACGAGTCAGGGATGACTCGTAATACTGGCAGACGAACCGGAAGACGACGATGAGTATGCCGGAGGGATCGACGTGACAGTAAAGATGCAGGACGGGGATTTCACCCATACTAGCCAACTGTTAGATTATAAGCATCGACCGACCACTCACGGCTTTGAGAATATCTCGGCTTGGGAGTTCGCCGGACTCGTAGAGAAGGAAAGAATCAAACTGAAGACAGACGAGCCTGAAGGCAGTGGGCAACGGTCTGAGATGTATCGGCCAGAGGATGTTGACTCAGGGTATACTACTAGTCGAACTAGTCGAGCTAGACTGTCGTTCTTGGACGACCATCCTCAGGCAGATACGCATACATTGTATCTTCGCGGTAGGATGCACGTACCTATCTTGAGCGGGCCTGTCATTCCTTTGCATTCGGGAGATGCTGATGCGCGCGAGAAGTTTTGCCGCGCCATGCTCATCTTGTTCAAGCCCTGGAGAGAACGGGGCGATCTGTTAGGAGACTTTGCTTCTTGGACTGCGGCGTATGAAGCACATACCTTTCCGAATCATCTGATGAGAACCATCCGGCATATACATGTCGAGCATGAATGTAAGGATGCGCGTGATAAGCATAGCCGGGATAGGCGCGCCGGCTTACAGGGTCCATTACTCCCAGGTGCATATGCTTCTTCGTTTGAAGTTAGTCAAGTCGATTCGGCGTTGTTCGAGTTCGCTGTGATGCATGAGTCTGTCGATGCATTCGGACTCATCTTACCAGAGCATGATCCGTCCTCCGAAGACGACGACGAAGACTTGAAACCGAGAATACCGCATTTGGGGAATATACCAGGCGCCGCATCCCAATCTGCTACCATATTGCAACGCGCTGGCATCATGATAAGCGATTCAGCTATACAAGAGCACATTGCGTCTGGTCGCGGACAAGACGCGTTGGCTTGTCAGCTGCCGTTCAGGGTTCCAGATCTGCAGGACATGCGCAAGTTCATGGAGAAGCTGCGAAAGCTAAGGCGACCTCAGCCAGCAGCTGTCAAGAGCAGAGGGAGACGCAAGTCACCTTCGTTGAGTGACAGAGACCCTATAGTCGGCATAGGAAAAATGTACGGCAGTACTAAGCCCCACCTTGTCGAGAGTGACAGAGACAGCGATTCTGACGCAATGGATGTAGATCCGCAACCACGAACAGTGCTGCAACGAATCGTGAAGAAGTTCCACATGGAAGATAACCCTGAGCAACAGCTTGTGATGAAAATATTCGACGATCACCATGAGCGGGGCATGTGGAGGGATGAGCAACTATTGATGTATATCGCGGGTGTTGGCGGGACAGGCAAGAGCCACGTCATACAGGCCATGACGACGTATCTCGGAATGCAAGATCACGGAGAATGGCTCTTGATAGCTGCACCTACTGGTATTGCGGCGGTACTTGTCAATGGGTATACCATACACGCGTTGACCTATCTGAACGTGGGGGGTGGGGGTAAAGATGATAGTTATTCAGAGTTGTCGCCGGAGAAGAAGAAGGCTGTCGAAGAGATCTGGCGACGTGTTAGGTATCTTGTCATTGATGAAGTATCCATGATCTCAGCTACACAACTGACCTATATATCCCGTAGGTTGAAGGAGGCACGTAGCAATGTACCAGGCGGCGATCGTCCGTTCGGTGGAATCAATATCATCGCCACAGGCGACTTCGGGCAGTTGGAACCTGTGGGTGGTAGAGCTTTGTTTCATACCAGCCTTGTCAATCGCCTCGATGATAACGCTGGTATGACTGACCGCAAGCAGTTCGCTCTTCACGGAGCCTATCTCTGGCGGTTGTTTGATACTGTGGTCGAGCTAAAGAAGATCGTTCGTCAGCAGGACGACCCATCTTACGGTGAAATGCTTAGTCGGATCAGACTCGGTCACGCTACTACGTGTGGCCCAGGTGGTGTCATGGAGGGTTCAGATTACCATACCATCTCCGAGCGCACTTTAGACTCGATACGAGTCAGTAAACGAGAATCTTTGGACAAGTTCGAAGACTCGCCTATCATAGTCGGGGACCGCGTCAGCCGCGATGCCCTGAACCTGCGTCTTGTTCACACAAAAGCTATGCATCGTGGTATCCAGCCGGTGTTCTTGTGTGCCAAGGATAAGCGATCAGGGTCCAAGGATCCGCTGTCGGGACCACTCGCAAAGGCAGCGATCCTGCTTCCTCCTGGTAAAGTTGATGTTATGGGGTGCATACCATACTTCCCCGGGATGCGAGTGATGATAACAGAGAACCTGGCTATGTGCCACAAGGCGGTTAACGGCCGCGAAGGCGTATTGCGCAAAGTGGTGGTCGAGAAGGGGATGGACGAGATGCTTCACGCAGTATGCGCGTTCGTCGAAGTCGAGGGTGTGGGGCCTGTATACCCAGGTCTACCGGATGACATCATTCCAGTATTCCCTTCGCGTACCACACATAAGTTTTGGTCTGGGTACGCAGAATGCTGGGTTAGTTTCGTGAGAGAGCAGATTCCCTTGATGCCAGCGTACGTCTATACGGACTACAAGGCACAGGGAAGATCCCTCGATACGGTCATTGTAGACCTAGCGAGCACTTCGAAACCACAGGGTAGGTATGTCATGTTGTCTAGAGTGAAGACGCTCGACGGGTTGGCTGTTCTGCGGCCGTTCTCATCTGAGTGTTTTAGTAGACCGTTGCAGAGGTATATCAAGAATGAGATGAATCGCATTTCAGGGCTTGCTATATTGACGGCATCCAGACTAGGAGAGCAAGCTGAAGACGATACAGAGTTTGCGGACGACTTCGGACTAGAAACCGGCGCCGTTCGATGTCGAGCGGAAGACGCTATGTCTGTGGACGCAGATGTAAACTGCACAGACAGCGCTAACGAGGACTCTATGATAGATGATGATGCATATTACAGTACCGAGAGCGATGAAGGAGAGTCCGACTATGAGGAGGACTACATGGTGGTAGAGGAAGAGTTGTGAGCAGATCTGGGTGCCTGAACAACCTGCCACGTGCTCACTGATTTTATTGGGGCGAACACGTCTTCAGCTTCATCTCGTCTCATTCTGTCATGTAGCGTGGGCGGAACGCTGTAGCATCGGGCCGTATGAGGCGCATAGATCTCGCTCGAAACCAATCCTCATGGCACGTCGCAATACTTCCCCTGACTTCAGTATTGACGTTTGGTGATATGGTCCACTAGATACAAATGCAACGGGAAGCCAGCGGGAATCCTCCCGTATACGCTTGGCTTTGCGCTTGGCTTTGGCCCAAGCCTTAGCCTTGCGATACTACTACAGCGCCCAAAGGCTGTAGTAGAAGACCCGGTGGCCTTCTACCGGAAGCGCTGCAGTCTATCGCACCGCCCGCGCTGGGCTAAGATTCGGGTTGGCACGCTCGTGTCCCATGCAGTCTTGCCGAGTTTGGCGAACCCCCCTCCCTGTGTTCGAAGGGAGGATTTGGTCGGTTCAGAGGCGAAGATACACCGCCTCGCGTTTGATTGGAGTGTTCTGGGCATACATTCATTGCGTTCAGCAGGCGTTGTTAACCGATATCAGACTTTGTCATGTAATCAATTTGTTCTCCTGGTGCTGCTACTCACCACGTCGTAATAGACGTAGCTTGATTGTGAAATTGTGTGAAGACGCATGCGCATGGTTGCAGAAAATGATATGCATTCGAAGCTATTATCTAATATTTCTATATTTCCGGTCAAGAGTAGTTGAGAAAACAAGACACACTAATCGCGCTTCAATAGACGAGTCATATCGAACCCCTGCACCGTACGCATGTCCTCAAGATACTGCGCGAAAGGTACGTTCAACATGGTCGGGTAACCGCTGGGTACCTCCCATGCCGCGTTCGTTCCCAGTGCCCAAGTGATTCGCGGCGATGGCCACACCCATTGAACAGTGCCGATGATGAAGAGCGTACGGACTACATCCGTGTCGAGTTCGTGGAAAGACTTGATCTCCCATGCCTTTGAAGACGAAGGCAGGATCAATGTCTTGATGGGAGGGTGGTGAAGGTAGACCAAGGTCTCGGCGAATGCGCGCAGGCAAGACAGCCATGTAAATTGGATGGGCGTCTCGATCACAAACGTCCTAGTGGCTTTGGTGCAGTCGCTGATACGGTATACGTTGGCGTAGTCGAATGTCCATGTAATCTCCGTCCGGGTGCAGTCGCGGTGCCTACCAAGAAAGCGGATGCGTAGAAGTCGGTGGCGAGCGTCCTTATGACTGGAATGGTCCGTTACTATCGTGTTGTTAGAGTATAGCAGTGAATACATGCGGTTGCGGCTTACGCAGGCGACCGAAAACGGCGCTCAACTGGGTTCCGATGGCTTCAGTTTGATCCAACTTGAACTCCACTCGGATGTTGCAGTCGGGAGGTACGTGAAGGCGCGAGATGCAAATGTGTATGATGTCAACGTTCCTCTGGGTGACATCGAGGAACTGAAGAGACGGCAGAGCCAGAGGGCCCGGTACCTGATCCTCATCTTCATCATCGATCGCGTTGTTGAGACTCAGATGGGTCATAGAGCGTTGGGAACGAGCGACGAGACCCATGACGTTCGAGAGCGTAGGTCGCGGACTATCGGGCACAGGTGGAGCGGTGTCGTACGCGACAATCAGACTGCGTAACTGCGGCGTGTGGAAGGGGTAACATATGTTCTTGTACTTGACGTATCGAAGGCTGGGAGTGACTAGCGCGTGGTTGTGGAATGGACGTCTGGCGAATCTGTCACTGTTCACATAATCAGCAGATGCAAGTGTAACCAATATAAGACCGGTCTTACATGGCATCCTTATCCCCCTTGGCGTCGAAGGTGAGTGGCGCGTCAAGTTCGAGACGTTCTAGTAGAGGAAGTCCGGTTGGCGTTTCGGTGTTGGCAGCGGCGAGCCATTTGAGGATAGTGCTCGCACACAAGCGAAGATCGGCGCATGCGACTATCTTGAACGCGTCCGCTGGCGTCGTTCGGAGTACGGTCATCAAGCGACGCTTGTCAGCGGCTGTGCCGAAGCTGAAGGCCGGTGGCATAGCCGGAGTGGCAGCCGAGAATCTCAACGCAAGCGGGATGTTTCCAGCAAGTGCGTGTAACTCGGAGTATACGCGTGGCAGTTGCGTACAGACGATGGACCAAAGATGACCGCTGTTCTTCATGATCCGTCGGAGATCCGAGCACGTCCAGTACAGCGCGAGCCAACCGAGGTTAGAGCCATCCCAACGGCGAATTTCTGGAGGGGCGATATAGGCGAGCGTCATGATGATCTCGAGAGCAACGTTAACTGGTACGTGAAGGATGTAGGCACTATTCAGAGTGAGCTTACGTCGAAGTTTGGTCGAATGGCAAGGAACTCACAGTGGATTGGCTCTGTTTGCGAGTACCCGCAGTATCGCAGCCGCGTTGATGTAGGCGTTCGCAAGTATGAGAGTACTGCTAACCAACTGCTTCACTTTGCTGGAGGTGACCGGGACTTGGGACGCGATCACTTGCGTGAGCTCGTTTGCGTGGGGAAGAGCCAGAGCAAGGTTATCCGCTGTAGTCGAGCTGGTGGGTAATCAGCACGGGTTATGGCGATGAAACAGGTCAATCTAGACGTACTCGAGGTGATCAATGTTGGCGGAAGCCGGGTCGAGAAGAGTCTTGAACGGAAAGGAGGTATCGTCGTCCAGTACTATCTCTTGATTACCGAGTTCGTCTGGGTCGTCTTGCGCAGGGAAGAAGGGAGCGCCGATGGCGTCGATGGTCTCAATAGCATCTATAGCCGGAAGCAGGTAGTCGTGACCGAACTCGAAGTTGCCTTGAGGAAGATCGTCAAAGGCGCCTTGTTCGTTCTGCATGATGGAGCAGTGGAGGTTTACCTGCACAAGATTCAGTACGCTCAGCTTTATACATATTCGGGTGCCATGTGCGGTGGCCGCTTACCTGGTATTTCGTGCTGCATCATCTCTACAAGTTCGCATCAACTGTAAAACCCCAGCCGATTGCATGAAGTCGGAGTGCGGGTCGTAGATGGACCTTCTTCAGGTCCATGGACGGCCTGACCGCGAGTTGAGCCGTCTAGACATGACCTAAGCGCTGGGAAACCCTTGCCCACGTTTACATGAGCAAGTGTGTCGCCCGTTGCCACGCGCAGCGGAGTGCCTCGTCCGAGAAGCGTTAGCAGTATCGTGCAGGCTCGTATGAGCGTAAACGGAGGTAGACGCCGCTGATTCGGAAGACCGCGATATGCGTTGTAGCCATTCCAGATGGCCCTTGACCACTCTTCTTGATGCAGACATAATCGAAGTTGAACGCCCGTACGGTAGCTGTCATCAAAGTCCCATGAGATTGTGTTCTGTGCGTAGTCGTGGTCAAGCGCAAAGAGCGCTCCGCCTTTTGGACGGCTCCTGATTCGCCACGGCCCCCGGGCCGTCCACGTGTTACTTTACTCGCGACGAGTTGGATCCTGTCTGCGAGGCTTCACATCCTCTATCGTGGTACTGGGTTTCATCCCTCATTCGCTCGTGTTCATGCCAGCTGTGGAGTCGGAAGTCTGCGGAATAGTGGTGTGCTGAAACGCGGTGATCGCGGTCTTCGTGTCTTGACTCCGGTCTTGCGTATGTGACCGGGAGCATTATCTCTCGTCTGGTCTGAATCGTGCTGTACGGCCACCTCATCGAATCTTCTCATGCACGGCTATGGTTGAACTCATGTTGCCTTGCGACCTTTGTACGTCGCGCAGCGATTCGGATGATGTAGAACGGTATTCGAGGGTACTTCTCAAGCCAGCCGGCTTTCCTCTCCTCCGTACGAGAAGCCCGTCGGACCGACTCTACCCAACCTTATTGAAGCATTGAATGCCCATCAGTGCATGCATAAGGAACTTGGCACGGTTCTTCTCGACCCTGGTTCGATCGCCCTGCATCTACGTGCTAGCCGGTGCAAGTACCTGTGGCCCAGCCTCGTTGTATAGGCGTCCGCGGGTCTTCACAAAGTCCCCGCTGATCAAGGTTGCCGTGGACCGCTTCTCTGGGGTCGCGATCTTCGGGTGGGTTGCCATATGTGGTCATACTCCCGACTGACGCCACGAATCAATCACTTATGATTTAGACATGGTCCCCGCGAAGATCTTCGCATGCCATATACAGGCTGGACATGGTTTTGATCCGATACCGTGTAAACTTGCTACGTTGACTTTGTGCAGGCTTGCGGTAACGAGTACATCCATGCGCTGACAGGCGCCTGGCAGGCGCTTGGGCGGTCTTGTAACGACGCTTCGGCTCCTGAGTCTTCGTTGCACTTACTAGCTCCGTTCAGAGTTGAGTTGCGCGGGCGTGCAAAACGCCGTGCAAACGCGGAGGTTGTGCAAAAATGTGACATGGTGTGATGAGTGACCGAACGCGCGTTGACGCGCCGGAGCGGCGCGCGCGAGCCTCTCTCCGTCCCCACCATGCTGCAGGAGAAACGCGGACGTTCGGACTCCGCTCCTGTATCCGCGCCCAAGAAGCCAAGGGCTGCTGCTCCGAGAAAGACTAAGAATGCTGATTGGGGAAGCAAGTCAGCACCCAACGAAGCTGCCCAACGCGCCCAGAACGCGTTCGAGTCGGAGAAGTTCCGCAAGGTTTTATGGGGGCCGAAGAAGGGCGAAGTACGTGGTGTTTCTCGTTGCATGGCATATGTGTATTAAGAATCACGTAGAATACGAGCAAGATTAGCTTGACCACGACCTGGAACGAGATCGCCATCGTCGTATTCGGCAAGGACAACATCCCGGAGGGCGAGCTTTCAGCTTATGGCAACAAGATCAAAGGGTTGTGGAATGCGTGCGTATCCAGACTCCAAATGATAGGCAATATTATTAATTTTTGCATAGGTATCGTAAGACGTATAATAACCTCGCCGAACGTATCAAGCAGACTGGTGGTGGCGTGCGCGATCCGCAGATCGCCTCTCTTGTTAGTATCGAGGAGAAAGGCTCTACCCGTGTCCTGGAGTGCTACGTCCCGGCAGAAGGCCCAAGTGCGGAGACGCCACAGAAGTACAAGAATATATGGGGTATGTCCGTCGTCGTGGCTATTCTGATCATCTACTCATGGCTTCATAGAGGAGCTGACAGGGACGTTCGCATTCTTTCCTCGCTGGCATGCTTTGCAAGCTACCCGGCCATCATCAAACCCGCCTTCTGTCACGACTGGTCTTAGCCCGGACCGAAATGGTGGACATATCACGACTTTCTACCAGCCTCCGCCTGAAGATCTTGTGTCGAAGCCCGGTGAACCCATTCCCGATGAGCTCATCGACCCACAACTTCGCGATGTCGGTGCTCCTGATCCTGATGAGCCCATGCATGCCCCATTCGAGCAACTACGCGAGGACTCTGACGAGGAGATGCCCCCGGTGATCTCACGTCCGAAGGCTACGAAATCTGCTGCACAGCCTACGCCTCGTAGATCGGCTCCCTCGCAGCAGCAATCTTCTCGCCCAGCTCAGTCGACACCTCGTCCGTCGTCGGCAAAGAAATCCTCAGCTGCCAAGGGTACATCTACTTCGTCGCAGAAATTCGTCGCAAAGCCCAATCCCGCCCAGCAAAGTATTGAGGCGAACAAGAGCAAGTTTACGCCTCTAAAGCGGGAGAGTATTCACACCACCATCCGCTCGGTCGTAGAGTATGTCTATTTCATCTCGACTACTATCATATATTAATCATTTTCTAGTACTTCGGCGAAAGAAGCTCGTGCGGCGCGGCGGGAGCTTCGGCTCACGAGCGAAATCAATCGGCTGAGAGATGATATCCGTTTTCTAGAAGAACGACGCGATAAGCGACTCGCCACCGCTCGCGAGGAGTACAAGGATGACCTGCTGACCAGAGACGAGTTTATTAAGGAGAAGGCGAAGATTAATAAGGCTATCGATGACGAAGTCGCTCGTCTACGCAAAGATATGGAACACGCTCAGCATGATCTCGAGAACGATGGCGAGGATAATCCGCCTGCAGGTTCTCGCACACCGAGCCATGGTCCTGATGCTCGCATGCAGCGCGAACACTCGCCGTCGTGGGGTTCTTTCAAGGATGACTCTGATATCGAGGATATTACCGACATGATGAGAGGCGCGAAATCATCTTCGCCGGCTCCATTTGATGAGGATGATGTGCAGTTCTAGATACATTATCTAATACAGCTATAGACGTAGATGAGGAAAGGCTGCCTTAATATCATTAATCTCCTGCACCAACTCCTTCCGTCTTGCCTCTGGATCATTCTCATCGAAGTCCTCATCGAAGGGTTCGATGGGTTCGTCATTATCACCCGAGTCGTCGTGTTCGTCCTTGCGTGTATGCAAGGGAGCGAATTCGATGACCCCAAGCCAGCCATCTATGTCGATGACAGCATTATGCATGATGATGCAACAGGAGACCCAACGCGATGCCCGATGGTGATCGCTCGCATTATTGATAGGCACACGAAGACCTCGGAGCGATTGCCAACGTCCTTTCAAGGCTCCCATGCAGTGCTCGGAGCGAACGCGCAGACCTACAGACTGTGAGAAGACCATTTCATTTGGCTCTATACACGACTTACCAGATACGACTCGGTCAAATAAGCGGTTGCGGGGCTCATCTGCCTCTGGTTTCTTGTGAACAGCAATGGTGTGATGATCAACATCATATGCAGAGTCTGCCCACGCAAACTCTTTGCCCTTAAACATCCAATCTGGCCAGCGTCCGGCAGCCGTATGCTTGAAGGCGGTAGAGTCATGGGCAGACCCTGTGAGCCCAACACAATAATCAACGATGCGAAGATTTGATGGTGCATTGCCGATCTACAAACTTGGCGCTTAGTACTGATAGACAAAGTCAAACATGCTCACATACCTGTGCATTAAAGCCGTAATTCTGTTTGCGTGTGTAATACGCAGCCCCATCCATGCCAGGGCGACCATAGAACACGATAATCGTTCCATCGTACATGATATAACCCTCCCGCCAGGTTGAACCTGCCACTCCTAACTGCTCCTCAATCCAGCACTTCTCTATCTCCTTCTCCTCGTCGGTCAAAGGGCGAACGAACTGGTCATGTAACGACATGATGGCAGTGAGGGTTCGCTCCGTGAAATCATGTACAGCGCCTTCCGAGATCCCTGCATCTCTGGCTACATCACGCACGGAAGCACCATTTCCGAAACGGCCCATGCGGTACAAAGTGACGGCGAGTTGGTCTCGAGGATCGGTTTGCTCGTTGTTGGAGTTGTTTTTGAAGACGACGTGATTTCGGATTAGATGAAGAACGGCCTCGAAGACGTGCGGGGATACGCGGAACATGGTGACGAAGCGATCGTGAAGAGCAGGATCGCTGGCATAGTCCCAGGCGAGACTGAAGTTTCCCCGTTTGGGTACGAGAACACGTGTATTTAGGTAGCGAGCAGTGAAGATATTATATAAAATCAGACAGTCGGTCTTGACCTGCTCTAGTAGCTGTGGTGCGGATTCGGGAGGTAACAGGGCCATTCGAAGAGCCATGTAGCTCATATAAGCCTCAAGATATTGCTGGTGCAGGGTCTTGTGCCAAGTCATGGTGGTTCGGTGGTGGTTGCAGCTCGTAGATCTGTTGCAGATGCGCGCAATAACGCGCGGCGCGCGCGACGCGACGCGGCAGCTTAGGTAATGTCACGCTCGTCGCGTTTGCACAACTTGCGCGTTTGCACGGCGTTTTGCACGCCCGCGCAACTCAACTCTGAACGGAGCTACTATATAGGAGATGCCTTGTGCATCGGTCTAAGCGCGTTTGTTACCGCTCACACATCCACAAGCAGCAATGGTATATGGAGGTGCGTAGTCGGATCTTCATGCTCGGGCTTCTTCTGACCGCGCATGCTGGTAGCTTGGGCGTGGAACGGCAAAGACTTGGACTCCGTGTTACGTCGGATGACTTCGTCCCAGATGCGGTGTTGGATCCAACGGTACGCACAGCTTGTACTCTCCGCCAATGATTCCAGTCTTTCATTATGTGCTGTAGGGAAGACAGGCTCTCGGAGATGATCGCGCTGACAAGCAGCCTGCTTTACCATGGCGTCCTGCACCGCTCAACGTCATCGCGACCTGTCTCAGTAATCGAATCTCTACCTATTGAGGTTATCGAGGAGATCCTTTTATACGCCGGCAGCACCTCTCTTCGAACGCGCTGTGCTTTACAACTAGTCTGTCGCATGTTCCGGTGCATCGTCATTCTGAGTTCGGCTTTCTATTCAGACCTGGCGTCTATGCCTGTTCATCCGCCGGCGTTCTTCGCTTCCTTCAACAGAGCTTGCATACGCGACCGCCCGTTCTATCTCGTGTTCGACGCGGACAACAGAGACGAACGCTCACCACCTCTACTATGCCTTCTAACCGGCGTACCGCTCGCGCGCACCATCATCATAAATCACACGGTGCCCGTTGGTGACGTGGTAGAGGCTCTCATACGGGAGGAAAGCTGCGATTTCCTCACGAAACTCGTTCTGATGCCTGTCGGGAGTGCCGCGGTGGCGACAGAAATGCTTAGTCCGCTGCGCGGACCTGATAGGCAACTTTCCATCCGCGCGCCAAATCTGACGCATCTAGAGCTGTACCAGATGAACATCGTCTTCCCGGCATCCAATCGTTTGCGCTCTCTCAAGATCGACTATCGCGCCGAACAGGATATGTTCACCCGCAGCAATGCTTTCCACCCCACTATATTGCATTCTATTCTATCGCGTAACGCGCATCTGGAGCACGTTACTCTTACGAGTCCTCTTGGCCTAGCGTCTCTCGCTAACGGTCCCACATCTTCCATCGCTTTGCCGTCGATGAAGACGCTCAAGCTAGAGACGGACGCGGCTCAACCAATTACATGGCTTCTACCATGCCTGGTTCTACCCCAGAGCGCTTATCTTCTGTTCAAAGTCGGCGAGAACTCCGCGCGCAGAGTTGACGTGTCTTCCTTGGTCGGTGTCTTAGGCAAGTATACCGCCACTATCATTTTGGTTATGACGCTTACTGGCATTCACAGTATTGCATCTTCAGTCTAGACCGTTAGATACCCTAACGGTGATTGAGTCCATACGGTGCACAACCCTGCTATTCAGTCAAGGCATTCGTAAGCGTCAAGGTCAGATCTCGTGCCTTAACTCCGATGGGTATCTCTCCAGTCCTGGTTCGGTGGATCTGGAACTCCATTACACCAGACCATCTCTTGATACGGTGAGTACACGCATGATGTCTACTGTCGTTGAACTGGCTAGTGACAGCGCATAGATCAGTTGGACGGATGTGTTGTTCCTCCTAGCCCAGGCGGGCTTGGACATTCGCCAATTGAAGACTTGCGAGGTATGTCTATCGTCTCGACCGGCTGCATGTCTTGACACTTCACGTGCAGATCTACGCAGACTTTTGTGTCAACAGACTGGACTTGCACAGGGTCCGTTCGTTGCTCTTCCACGTGGAAGAAGTGCGATTCTGGCCGTTTGCTACGAACACGGTCAAGGCCCCCTTGTGGCAACTTTGCGCGCCGAGTCCAGTTGGATGGTCTGTCGTAGCAAAGAACTTTGCTGGTCTATTTCCCCGCGTACGCCGTGTCGTCGACGTCAGAACAGGTGTTCTGTGGACTGGGAGTTCGGTCAACGATTTGTTGACTCAGATCCGGCGGCTTCCGTATCACGATTGACTTCCATGACATGTACACGATATCTTATACAGGACTGTGCAGGGGTCGCGTGCCAACTACGATAGAAACAGATGTTTCTTGCCTCTCGACCTCGTCGTCGGCTCGGACAGAGCGGTCCCAACAGCAGCGTAGTAAGTAAAGGATTGTACGGGGTCCGGATCAGGAGGCAAGTGAGGTTGTGCATCATGCCGTCTGCCTTTGTGAATCAGCGTCGTTTCGCCCTTGGGCGGCGACATCAAGAGGCTTGTTGACAGCGTCGTCCCACTGATAGGGGAGGATGGCGCGCTGCTACTCTTGTCTTCATTTGGAGACATCGAGAAGCTGTTCGATGAGGGTACCGTGCTGTTGAGAGGAGAGGACGGTGCACTGCTATTCGACGTTGACGGTGTGCTCGTTCTAGACGAGGATTGCGCACTGTCACTGAGTGATGACAAGATGCTGCTTCCTGGAGACAACAGTGTATCTCCATTTGGCAGCGGGAGTGTGCTTCGTGGGGCCTGTACACCCTGGCCCCGTTGCAAATCGGTTCGTGCACCTTGTTTCGAAGGCGGGAACACACACGGTTTCTTGTCGCGTCGCGCCAAGCATGTTCTGGGATGGTTGTATCTCAATATCTTGCAGCTTTTCATAGGTTCATTGTGTTCGACTTACGTGCAAGAACCGTTCTCAGTCCTGATACACCTGCCCTTTTTCGTGACACGACAATTTGTACATGCCACGAAGGGACCTTCGACGTTTGGTGAGTCCAACTGCCAGCAGCCGACTGTATATGACGGTGTTTCTGCGTTGTATGCCGAGGACATAGCATCCTCAGCGACATCCTGATACCGGTAGATCCGGTGTTCGTATGGACCGGTGTAATTGGCATGTGTATTCTCGCCGCGGTGCGCTGGCTAATCCCGTATCGTCGTGAGGATGGCTGTATGGTATGCAGTGTCTATGAGACTGACCATGACGAATGTCCGACAGCAGTCTGGACGGCGGCTGGCGTTCCAATCTACCGAGGCGGATACCTGCCGTGGTAGTCAAGAACCAACCAAAATGGTTACAGCCAACTTACTCAGCAAGCTTTACACGTGGCTCCGGTCCCCATTGCCGTCAGATGTGGTCATCTCTTACTCCCATCCTCCCATCGTGTAAACCTTACATTCTCCATCATGGCCGACCTACAGACCTTACCATCCAACCGTGGATCTACTGTCTCTCACTGCGTTGTCAACGGACTTCCCGAAGAGCTACTGGTCGACATTTTTGGATGGTTGCACGCGCTCTATCGCGCCGACATCTCTACCAGGGGACATCCATATTTACTGGACGAGATTCGTGTGTGTCGTCTCTGGAAGACGATCATTGAGGGCGAGGCACCGCTCTGGCAAGTGGTAGTACCAAGTCCACAGAACGAAATGATTCGTCACCGCGCCATGGCTTTCGCGAGGGACCATCCCATCACTTGCATCGCATCCTCGCGTGGATCGGATATCTTCCAGTCATCTACCCTGCTTGTGGATATTCTGGACGTTACCCAAGATCTGCTTCGTCGTATCGCGTCCATCGTGGTAGAGCATCATATGCTGTCGGTTACCTTCGAGGAGACCGATCACGATCTTCCCACCATCTATGATCTCGCTGCCCAGCTTCTGACTGGCCCGGAAGAAGCCATCGCCATTCATAGTATCCGCATATCGATTATGGTCGACTTCAAGGGCGCTGCTGGTCGGCCTACGCCCAATCTGCATCATCTACACCTTGAAGGTGTACGTCAGCCCCCCAATCTCGGTAGATGGGCGGCTACCCTACAATCCCTCGTCCTCGTCAGGGTGTCCGACTTCGACGTATCGTCTCTGGTGGACACGCTCGAAGCGGCTACTCAGCTGTCGAAGTTGGAGATCATCCTCATCGGGTTGAATATAGATCGACACATACGGCGGCAGCCACGCTCTGTTGTCATGCCCGCGCTCACATACATCAATCTCTGCCTGGAAGTTCCAGACGCGATCGCCTTCTTGCACTACATCTTTCGCCCGCATTGAGGACTTTGTCCGTCCTCGCCTATGGTTCGGTTGGGCCACAGATACCGTTCACTCCATTTCTGGTGAATGTTGACCCGCGTTTCGAGGATACTATAGCGACGGCGAAGGATGCCGCTGTACGCGGACTGTGCGACCATCTTGATTTGGGTCACGACCTCCAGCTACGGCGCGGCGGTTTACACGAAGATAATCCTGGTTTCACCCCCGAGATCATTGTCAAATTTGGTACCGGCGAACCTTCCTCGTACATCTTTGTACATCAGATGGCGCTATCAGCCCTAACCGAAATCGACCTGGCGCGTTCGTTGACGTCGATCGCACTGAATCTCCTCCCTTACAACAGGCTCGGGGGGATTCAGTGGCACGCTGTGCTGAGCCTTTCCGTGCGCGTTCGGTCGTTGTCAGTCGCGGGTTCAGCCGAGGATGTCAATCATGTCCTCTCTGCGTTAATCGACGAAGCGCGTGAAGACCGGGTTCTCCCAGCACTGGAGCGCCTGATATTCTTCGCTTCTGACATGACCTTCAACCTCGCGAAGACTATGACGGCCTTGTTGTGGTAGAGGACATCCAGTCCGTCGTCGGGTACGACTGCGTCCATAAAGGTCACCATCCGAATGGACGGTGACCCATCGGCTGTGCTACAGCCAGACGTATACCGTCTACTCACGGACCCACCTTTGTCGTCAGCCATCGACTTCCGTCCCCGTGCAAGCTATTCAGTGCTCCCGTCGGCTGAAGTTCCAAAGCACGAGGTTACCACTGTTTAGGATGGTTCTGGTGGTTCTGGTGGCGGACAATCGGGCTTCAATCAAGACATCTGGATGACATGCAGGTATGCGCACCCGTGTAGCCGCGTTGGTTTACTCAGAATGTGACGCTGACGTGAAATTTATTGACAGGATACATCATGGGCGATGCCGGCGTAAAGGGATCTAGAACATTGGACATTGTGTGTATTTTATGTGCATGTAGATGAACGAATCGTAGTTTCTGAACGGCTGTGCGTCGTCGAGTGAATGTCGCATACGAGCACGGCGACAGTAAGTTGAAAATAAGATGGATATTAACGCCGGTAAGGCTGTACATAGGATCCAATGTATACAAGTCTACGCGCACAAAGTACGCCAGCGCAAGCTGTACGAAATCGATAGTATCCAAACATCATTCGCCGTGAGCCAGTTCCGTCGAGAACGTACCAACATGAGCGGTCGCGTAGAGGTTGCAAGGTAGCCATCGATAAGCGCCTATTGCCTGACCTTGTGCAGGAACTTCTGTTACCAGATCAGCGAAGTACTCAAGTTGATACACATGATCAATACTTCACCGAAGAGTAACGGCCATACAGACCAATGGGCAAAGGCCACCGGTAGCCAGTGAGTACCGTAGGGAAACCGATTCAGTTGCGGTAAGACGCGCGATGACTGCACGCCAAATCAGCAACATTGACGGAAAGAATCGTATGGGTACGAACTGATAACGGATTGTGGCCTCCTAAAGTAGCGCACTCAACATCCCAAGGTAACTGGTAGTTGTGGTAGACATATTTTGTGAATGCCATGAGTACGTCGCCGTTGATGGACAAATCCCAGTTGAGGTAGCCGCACATCTCACGCTCCGCTTTGTTGAGCTCCCGAAGAGTAAAGGCCTCTTGCGCCACTATACACCAGGATCTGTTGCTGAAAGTGTTGTCGCAAAGCATCTTCCCGGCAAGCATGTAGCTGGTGACGAACAATTTCCGCCCGGTTGTCCGATACGACCTCGGGAGGCGCCCACGGAGCCGAAACAGCAACAACAGACCTGCCATCGCTACGATGTCCTCGTACCGCGTCCGGTATAGTGCGTATGCAATCCCATGATCGAGTCTGGAAGTTTCGTCATCTGGCGGGCCCCCGTAGACATGCACGATGAAATGACACAAAAGCGACGCGAATTGCTTGCGACCGTGAAAAGGATCCGGTTTGTCGATCTTGGGCACATGAGAAAGAACAAGTGTCATATGCAGATGATACACTCACAGTGAGAGGAGCAGTCCTTGCAGCAGTCTGCTCGGATGCCGACGTAGTGGGAGAAGAAGTCTCGCTGGACGCTGACATATGAACTGCGTATGGTCTGCGGGCGTGGAGTCAGACGGGGTAGCAAAGCAGAGGTATATGACTGGCGCTACTTATATCCCCATGCGAACACGAGGCCCATAGAAGCCTTTCAGCGCCTGTGCAAACAACCAACAGCACCCTGATGAAAGGCCTACATACGTGTCGCAACAACGGCGGCGCAAGGGGTGTGCATGCCCGTCCGTATAAATGCTGTAAGCGCCGGTCAGGTCCAGACAGGCCGACGATCAAATCGAAGATGATGGCGGCGAGCTCGGCATCAGCTGTACTGTAGCTCGATTCATCGGACGTAAACTCAGCGATATGGCATACTACCGCTTAGGTAGAAAGGTATACAAATCTGGTATAGCAGAAGACATGACGCTGGTAGAACGGAGGACGAAGACGGTAATCGAAGACGGCAAAGGCTGAGACGACATTCTCCTTCAGTCGGTATCCATCTAGGAAGCAAAACGTGCCAGGGTTAGGTGAGATCATGTTGTAGAGCAAGCTTATCACACCTGTGCATTCGACGTCTGCATGCGGTTGGACGACGCCGGTTCCCGCTGTACCTGATCACGATCGATCACGGTGAACTTGCGTTGCTCGGTCTCCTTCAGCACTTCATCGATCCTAGCATGCATTTCTGGCAGCAACCGCGCGCACATGTCCATGAGTTCCTCGGACGGGTAGAGATCCTCCGGTGACGCTGCTTTGAGATCATGCAATAACCCGCGATCCCTCAGGCTTCTCAGTTCCTCGACCTGTCGCTTAAGTATATCATTGGTTTGGCGAAGCGAGAGGTTTTCCTCCTGTAACCGATCGTTCTCGGTACGAAGGCTGATTGCGTCCTTCTTCACCTGGTCGCGTTCGGTGAGTAACGCTTGCATGTCCTCATGCGCCTTGATGAGGTCCGCTCTCCGGATGTCATTAATCGGGAGGATTGTCAGCTAGTGCATGCGTCTGTCTCAGTCGTAACTCACTGTGGCAGCCAAAGGCGGCGGGAGCACAGGATCGCTCATGTTGTGGTCGTTCGCGGATTGCATTGAGAACGGTGTAGAACTATCCACGTTGCGCGCCGTGTGCTTCGTGTTGGGCCACGGTCAGGCATGGCATGTGAAAGCCTAGAGATGACGCGGTCACATGATGAACGCGCTCGACGCGCCGAATCTAAGGAAAGAACTGGGCAAGCCGAGTTATTCGCCGATGGATGCAAAGCTGGCTGAACCGAGAGAGCCTATACGAGAGGTGGTCATACTCTATCTGAGGCCATTGGGCATTAGGTGTCCTTCATTGTACAACTTGCGGTACAGATACCTAGTTGCGCTTGACAAGACACCACAAGCAAGATACATGTTCCCATGGAACATCAGATGACAGTGCACGCCACCAACAATGACAGCCAAGAAGCAAGGGGGTGAGACGCTCTGTGTGACAAAAGGGAAAGCTATTCCCGGGTTTGTTTCATGACGGCGATAGCATGTTCCCATGTCCAATGGAGTCCGCAGAACCGGCGCAGATCGTTAGTTATGACACACGTCAGGCGAGACCTCAATTATGTCATTGCCGGGTCCAATCGAGATGATGTGATCGGTGGAAGAGGTGGTGGCAGCCCTACAAATATCGCGAGCCCTTCTAGTTCAATTGTTTCCAGTCAATCCGCCTCCTTGCCTTCACACTTGACACAACCTTCACGTATGTAGCACTGTTCAATCGCGTTGCCAGTGCTTTGTACATACAGATATGCTGACACTTGGCTGCCAGCTTACAAAATGTGAACGTGGAGCAAACCATGCACGCCCGTTACACAATGGCTCACAGGGGAATCGAACCCAGGATGGTAGATGTCCAGAACTACCATTGATCCACCAGAGCCAGAAATCTAACCTGATTCATAGTTGACAGGGTTTCAACAGGGTCCTGACTCCCTGAACGAACTCTATCAATCATACGTATTGACACCTAGTTAGGGTTAGACTCCGATCATCGCAGAAGGCGTTGATTGTCGCTGGCGTGTAGGTTTGGTTACGGAAGACATTATCCAAGTCTGCTACAATGATATGCCGCAAAAGCTTGGTGGAAGAGTCTAGCCGATATGAGTGGCTCTTCTGCAGTTACCATGTAAACCATAGACTGAGTAAAGCTGTTTGTATCCCACCGGCCGCCGTAATCGGGTGAAACAACATCAGCGGCTTTCGGCTATCTGAATCAGATCAGAACTACACGTGGAAATCTAGACGGCGATCATTCACTCATATGCAGATGACACCGTCAGACACTAGCCCTATATAGTACATAGGAGCTATATATACTGTTCTTGATGAAGCAACTGCATACACCTTTCTCCCTTTGCTTGCCATGGTCTGTGCACGATACCCTCACATCGACCTTTTCCGTCGCTTTGTGAAACCCGATGGGGCCACCATAGGCGACTATAGACGTGTAGAACACACTCTTTTGCCCTCTGACAGCATTCATTCTCTGCGACGATCTACTCCGGCGACATCTGTCATACACGCAGACCATATGATACTCTTCAGCAAGTTCCAGGCCTATCACCTCCCGTCTTACTCGTTCCGCACTCGCGACTATCCCCTCCGACAATATTGCGCTCCCAGAGACGGGTACCTACTTCTACCCCTCTCAGCGCGCCGAGTTGTAGCAGGCTATCAGACGATACGCCGCGCTTGTGCCGACCATGACAACGACGCGTGGCAGCGACTATGCATGTTCTTCAACAACGGTCACGCGCTACCCGGTCCAATCGCTGCCCTCTGGGACGTTCATTTGGCAGCATCTGATGCTACCATGGGACGTATCGTTGAATACATTAGTCATACAACAGGCTATCGCTACTACGCTGCACTCGAGTCTGTTCTCAAGTGGGACCCAACGAACACACTATTCCAAGCACGTATCCTTGGCGCAGGTTACTATGGTAAGCACATCTTTGCATTGGAGCGAAAGTAGTCAATTCAACTCCGATACGTAGACCTTCGCTGTTTGGTTCGCATGCCGACGGACTTCGTAGATCCATCGTTTGTCCGCGAAGCAGTTGGATTGCGTTCGGACGATGTCGAATGGGATGTGCAGTCGGCTCTACCTGCTATACTTGCACAGCGGGATTTCGCAATCCTACCAACGGCATCTGCATCAGTTGCTCTGTTGCCTGCCCATACGAGCTTCACCCCGACCACCGGACCTCGATGTATGTCACATTTGTCTGCCTGTATACGCGCTCACGTTATCAGCAGATCAAGACCGCTCAAGATCGTCTGTTGCAATCCAACTGGGTCCATCGGGCGAGCTATTACCCCACGAACAGGACACAGGGCCTACCATCAAGATCACAGTTCATACGGTGACTAAACTGGTATCAGCTGCTCAGGACGACGAGCATACACTGTGCAGTCGAGAGAGCATGGCGTTAGTAGAGACGGTCGTTGGAACATAGGTGATGAGCATCGTATCAGGGTGGAAGTGCATCTGGTCTAGCTCCAATACGCTCTTTTCGCCGTATCATACGACTGTCATTTACTACTACTCGCCGAACACCGGTCGAACTCCATTCCTCTTGACGAACTTCTTTGCTGCCTGACCAACACCCGCTGCATGTAAGGAAACTGGTTGAATACGGGCCAGGGTCTATAAGAGCGGATATATTAAAAAGCTTTAACGTGTTCACGACTTTTGCACAGACTAGGATGGGCGCATGACAAATCAACCCTGATACGTGGAAAGAAAGGACGTTGCCCGCCGTCTACTGGGAGCTGGTAGATCTGCAAACAAGACGAACGCTGCGACGCTGAACTCCGCCCGTGAGAGAGAAGCCTGGTATATGATCTTGATGTGTCTCCGCGGGATTGCTATGAGAAGTGTCTCAGAATCGAGTAGACAGGCGCTCAACATGCACTTACAGCGGCTTATCGTTGACGGTACGACCGCCAACCTCAGGTTCGAGAGGCTGATTGCCAGAATACGGAGACGACTCCGTCCAGGTTTCATAGAATCCGGCCATTTTACGACAGTGGACTCGCATATCGATTTCGGTAAAAGACAGGTCGTCTTCAAGTACGGTTCTGATCTCACGCAGAGTCTGTTCAACTTCAGGCGGCGTGAACTGTCGGGTGGCCTCGGCCCATGTCGCGAGATGATTGTCGATACTGCCATATAGACGCTGAGTTGGGGTGAATGAGTACCTGCGTAAAGAAAACCCATACAGCATTCCAACGTACCTGAAAAGCGAGCATCCATGCTCCCAGTAAAAGCCGCTCAGTGATCAGTCCATAGCCCAAACACGCCGGAGGAATGACCAAACGGCCTCGCATACGGTCGAGGTAAACCAGAACTACCAGGAGAACGATAGGGGCGGCATTCGTAACCACAGCCAGGTGGAATACAAAAGCACGAGAAAAGCCCGCGTCGAGTAAGGACCAATTGGAGCGTAGAAGCGGCATGGATTGACGCGCCATGGTATCGAAGAACACGTCCTCTGCGACATCCGCGATATAATCTGTGCGAGTATGTGTGTATGGGGGTAGAAACAATACAATGAGTAAAACACACACTTATTGCAGGCGCACAAGTCTTCTGCGCGATGATGAACTGCAACTCTCGGCCGTACTTGACGCCATTCACAAGTTCGCCGTGGCGTAGCTACACGGTGAAATCAGCGTGGATCACAATGCATCGAAAGCTTACACACCAAGATACTAGGACGATATATCGTGGGTGCGCCGACTCCATTGCTCATGGCGAAGTGTGGAAGGCAGATTTGGCCCGAGCGGTACGCACAACCGAGCCCACCGAGCGCGCCGTTTATAGGGCACCAGGACGATCCACGCGGTACAGCGTCGCTACATCGCCGGCATGGCACACGCGCAACACCATGTACATCAGCCCCACGTCGAGGGTACATGAGTGCGACGTCGCGCGTACATAGGCTGGATGGAGGCCGCACGCAAGGCGTACATCAGGCGTACATCGCCGCGACGTGAGCTCTACGTCGGGGTGATTGATCCGGATGAAACACCGGGATGATGTCATTGATCCGGTACCTGCGGTCCAAGTGAACTCACCACTGGAACACATCCACACGACAGCGTCCTTCACAATGATGAGAGCGTACTGACGAGGAAGGTGCGATGTGCCGCACCACTTTCTGCTTCTTCATGACCGGGGAGCGCGTCCAGAAGGAGCTCGGGATGATGTTTTGGCAAGCATAGCACAAGGCCGGCGCTGCTGTAATTCACGCGATCGTTGATTATCTGCTCACATCACACTTGCACTCGATACGAGCTAATGGAAAGCCATTGGTAATCAACAAGGTACGACATTAGATTAGATACACGGTCTATATTTCCTTAAGGGACGAAACGGGACGAGACAATGACTAGCGTTCAAAGCGACGTGCTACACGAGCGCACTCTACATAGATACGTCCATGGACACTTCCTCCACCTTCGAAGAGCTGGGCGTAGGCCCGTTGTCTTTAGCTTTGGAGTCGTGACGGAGGAGAAGAGTGACTGCTTCAAGATTGAAGTAGACGCGAGTACTGTTCCAATCCATCTGCTTGCCGAAGATATCGTAATACTTGCCGACTGACATCTCGAGCAGGACGATGTCGTTGCGAAGCAGCTGGTTAGGTTGCATGACGGGCATGCCAGACTTGTTCGCCGAATACTTCTTCTCGCCGTCATAGACACGGGGGAAAGGTACGCCCTGTACAGAAGTCAATAGAGAGGTCACACCTCAAGAAAGCATCACTCACGACCGGTTTGTCCTGCCCACGAATCTGGACACTGCAGTCGGTGTAAGCCAAGACCGAGCTCATGTTCTGGAGCTCAAGAGTAAGCTCTGTAGACGAAGGGCGTCAGTATAGATCGAGCTTTAGAAAGGGATGCCATACTTGAGTTAGAATAATCTTTGATGATGTTGCGTACATGCAGAAAGTCTCCATCGCGAAGACACTTGATGGCGACCTTGGGCTTCGTGGGGTATATTGGTCCGTTGTCACCTCGACTCAACGGTAGCATCCCGTTCCAACTGATCTGGCCGATGACCATCAGACGAACAGGGGTAGCTTGACCGGATACAATGAGGCGCGCTCCGCGAGCCCTCTGCGAAGACCATGCAAGATCTCGCGGCTCATTGCGGACGTAGAACATCGACTCCTCGCTGTTGGCGAACGTGGTAAATATGACCAGACGCCTGGGTAAGCATCAGAGGGGTGTACGACACATGATATCTTCGTTACGCACCGCAAGAATTGTCCTTTGATAGGCACACCATCTTCGCGAGAGAATTGCTCGTCCGTGACGTGGTCAACTTCCTTCTTCTTCTCGAGTTCAAGCGTGGTCTGCGTTGGTTCCGGTTTCTTCGTAGTCTTGGTATCACCCTTGTGCGGTTTGCTATGCGTCTTGACCGAGTGCTGCGCCGGGCGTTTCTCCTTCACGGCAGAGAATAGATCGGCGACAGTCTGCGGCGGCAAGTCCTTGATGGCCGCGTAAAGATTGGTGATAGCCTGGTGACGACAACAATCAACATAAGTCAGTGAGAGATGCGGGGCTACAATACTAACCTGATCGTGCTCCTTGGACTCAGCGCCGTGCCCGGCCTCGTTCATCGAAAGGGAATGGGCGCCCGCTATGACTCCTTCCATCTTCGCGGTATCGCCGGTGTTTGTCGCGTCGTCCATAGTAGCATCGCCAGAGACTGTGGAGTGCGTAGCTATACAAACAAGTCAGATATCTTGCACGGGATGACACAAATACCATTTCGCACCTTCTTCCGACATGTTCACGTCCGTTTTATCATTGACCGGCACAGGAACTGCCACCGACTTCCCTTTCACGTCGACGGTGCCAATATGGACAGGGTCTTCTACCATCGGTTCGGACGTAGAAGCACTGACGGGCCTGTAGGTAAGTTGAGCATATACAACTTATGCACAATCATGTCATGTAAAACTCACCCAGTCAAGGTTGGCGGAAACTCGCCCGAAGCGGACATCGTGTCAGACGACTCCGACTCCGAATCGTAGACGGACGGGTCTACTAGCAAACGGACAAATCAGCACAATGTATATATGCATTGAAGAAAATGGACTAACCGCCATCAGACACTACCCAATCCTTAAGTGAACCCGCGTCATTGTCGTCTTCAGCGGGTTCCGGCTCAGGATCGGAGTCGTGCTCTGCCTCGACATCGACATAGTCTGCAACGTTAACATTGCCGTCGATACCGCTGGTAGGTTCACTAGAACTACGGACATCAGCATGAGAGCGGAACAGTTTTATAGATCACTCACGTCGCCTGTGGCGGTACGCTGGCCTGTTGGCGAATCTTAGCGCTCCGAGTAGTAGATGTCATGGTCTGCGAAGGTGGCTGGGACAGAAGGGAGAGAAGATGGGGACACTAATCAGCGACAGTCGACTTATATAGGGGAGTTCGCATCATCGGATACGGAAGTGACTCCCATGCAAGAGAGACAGAGGCCCGATGTAGGGCGCACGGCAACGCGACGTCAAGCTTACATCGGCCTGATGTAGGGCGCACGGCAACGCGACGTCGAGCTTACATCGGCCTGATGTAGGGCGCACGGCGATGCGACGTCGAGCTTACATCGGAGCGATGTAGCTTTGACGTAGCCGTGATGTACCACCTACGCAAGGCCGCCAGCGGCTTGACACACCGGGTTCATCGCGGTACCATGCGCTCCGGCGGCAATACCATCAGATGTTCTGGAACCGTCCGTCTCACGCGTCCTACGGTCTGCACGTCCGTGAAACATTGAAGTCGTCCAACAGAGTTCTACCGCAGGGCGGGTATACACGAAGGAAGGCGCCCGGGCATGTCCCGATAGCTATATAAGACATTCTGACCCCCCCTGCCATCGCCACACCCTGTCCAGCTAGCCTCTAGTATGTCCTACTTGCTTCGTACGTCAATCTGCCCCGCTTCATGTATAGCGTCGTACTCACGTTGATTGAATGCAGATGAAGATGGCGAGCATATCGTCGATGATTATCCTGGGGATACCTCTGTTATATTCGGAGCATTCTATGATAAGGAAACGAACGAACTTGAACCATGGCGGACTATCCCGCGTAGCATGGACTTGTCCATGTATATGCGTGTCGTGCCCGGTCTCCGCCGTGGATCCAGCGTGCGAGAGTACCGAGTACTGTACGACTCCGCGATCCGTCCACATGCGAAAGTCAACTGTCCTTGGTCTGTCACCATAGCGCTGTACGGCTTCGTGGACTCGATGAACTTGTCCGTAACCGGAAATTGGGACCAGTACGTACTACTGAGGCTTGCTTATTCGAGTCATGCCGATCTAACGCATGCCAATATCAGGACACTCGGAGGTGCAGCTAAAGCCATCCAGTGGATCAAACTCACCGGTGGACAGTTCTGTAATCCGTTCAAGGCGCAAGGGTCCGCGTTAGCGCATCTGGAGCAACACGTCATCGGTACCGTACGCGGTTGTGGCCTACCCTCTGCTGACCAGGAAGCTATGATGCGCTACCGTCAGCAAGAGTTGAAGGTTGGGCGACGTGTATTACGAGTCATCCCTGACTCGTTGATTTATGGTTGTCGGTTTCGTGCGTGCCT